CAACGTTGCATTGAGAGACCTTGGCCCGAGCAGAGGCAAGGTCGAGCCGAATGACTTGGCTTAGTGTAGAGACAAGTCGGTTGTGTCGCGGATGACAGAACATGCACGCATAGGCAACGTGTGTAGACGAACAAGCTTGGATTCCACACAAGCGATGTTCGAGTGGCTAAGACAAACCTTGCCTAAGGTCCGACGAAACAACAAAGCCGGGGCAAATAATATATATGGAGCTTAATTTCTCTTAAGGCTGGTCGTGAGCGTGTCAAGATCACAACACCGCAGGGTAAAAATTGTAGGACCGTGACAGTTGGTATTAAAGCCACACTTTGTGTGTCTAGTCGGGCAAGATAGTCAAGAGAAATGAACCCAAGAGTTGATCGAAAATCTTGCAAGTGTGTCAAGAGTGCCAGAGTGGGCAGGACAGTTGCCGATCAAAATTAGAATCAGTTGGGGGTTAAAGCCAAGACTACTCGAAGTTCATTAGTGTCGTGTGTCGACACTTTAGTATGGGGAGATCTACCCATCAAGTAAAACCAAGCTCATTTGACAAGAGCTTGTAGTCATGAAGTGGACAAGATAGCTAGAGAAAAGAACTCGAGGGTCAAACGAAAGACATCACAAGTGCATCAAGAGTGTCGGTGTCAACAGAAAAGTTGTGTTGTCAAAACATCAGTGGCAGTAGTCGGTCATGACACATCATTGAGGGGAGTGCGTACCCGTCAAAGCAAGAACCAAGCTCATTTTCCAAGGGCTTGGAGCTTCAATAATTGGTAAGATAGATGAAACAGAAGGTGCACCAAGTCGGTACTTTCAAAAGAATCATTCACATTAGAGGAATAGTGTCAGTGGTTGCAAGCAGATAAGCCGAGAGTCAGGAAAAGATAAATGTCGGTCAAGTGCAAAAGTTTAGTACAATGCAAGTCCTTATGGGAGGACGACCTTACTGCAAAGAGGCAACCAAGTTCGAGTGGGGGAGAGCCGAATCAATAGGTCTCTCACCCCGTAAAGGTGCTCCAACATGCGAGCACATGTGTATTCCTTGAGCCATCACCTTGTGCCTAAGGTGGATGACTCCAGAAGAGTTGTCGAGACCAGTATTCACTCGATAAGTGAGCATCAAGCTAGAAGTAGACATAGAGAAGTGAAGCTGTGAGACGACCAAGAGAAGTGTCAATGCAGCAAAAGCCACATGAAGGTGGCAGAGTACAAAGAGTTGGCCGAAAGGAAGCGCCAACAATTGAAGAGACTATGTCAAAAAAATTTTGACTTTGCTCAATAGAAGTAGTCATGACGAGAGAGTGTTGCGGCTGGGCTTGCGAGCCCCACCCCGAGGGTTGCACTAGTTGGTGTGATTCGGAGGATACACACGTTGAGGCCAAGTTGTCTGGTGAGTGTCTGCAGAGAGAGTCAGCCGAAGTTGTTGGAAGAAAATAAAACGCGTAAAATAACAAAGAGAGATCCTCAGTGAGAGGTGCTGCCATGTCTGTTACTTTTCAATAATCGTCTTTGCATTTTCTTCTACTTGAACCTGAGACCTATGTGTTGTTAGGTGGACACTCTAACCACTTGAGCTATTCAACTTGATTATTGATAAATTGGCTCCTCCGCAATGATATATCACCGATGGCTTCAACCAGGCTCTGATACCACTTGTTGCTTTTCGATAATCGGCCAGGGAAATCCTTTTCTTTTCGGTGAGAGGAAATCGTTGACGGGAAGTTGTTGGAAGAAAACAAAACGCGTAAAATAACAAAGAGAGAGAATTGCTAAAATTTTGACTGTGCTTCAAATGAGGTTATTAAATCTTTTTAATAGATTTCCTATTTAAATATAACTTATCCTAAAAATGGCTGGAGAGTGGTCAACTAAATCTGTGCCACTTCCTACAAAATTGCCGTCTAAAACTTTGGTAATCCATTCGAGGTGTTTGTCAAATGGTCAAACGGAGGTATTCAATCAACTAATGAAATCGTATGAATCTAAATAAGAAAAAACTCAAGTATTCAATCAACTAATGAAATCGTGTGAATCTAAATAAGGAAAAACTCAGGTATTCAATCAACTAATGAAATCGTGTAAAAACTCAGGTTTTATCTAACAATGTCTACGTTGCAAGTCTCGGTGGCCGAGTCCAAGATGGGCAAACAACAGAAATAGGTCAGAAGGGGGATAGACCGTAGATAGTGTGCACGAGTTTTCGTATCCATCTGAAGCATGTTTGATTCCCAGCAAGTCAATAACAAGTTGTCTAGACTCCGCTCCCATAGTCGTTGGTGCCGCAAAGAGTAATACTGCGGTTGGCTTGCGAGCCACACCCCGCGGGGTGTACCGTTATGTGTCACTCAAAAAGTATGCAAATTGGCCAAGAGTAGTGCCAAGCTAAAGTTGGGGCAAGTTCACCCAACAATTGACCAAGTCAAGAGTTAGAATGTGGTGCCATATGACAAAAGAGAAGTTAGAAGCATCAACTCGAACTTGTCCCCAGCTGACCGAGGCGTGTCAGTAAGATGAGCATTATGACAAAAGATAGTCGGGTGCTTAGTAATTTTATACTTGTCTAAAACACAACAAATCTAGCGAGTCGAGTCAGCAACAGTCAAAGAGTTCAGATCGTCATCGGGACAATGCCTAGTTTAAGTGGGGGAGAATGTAACAACCTAACAATGGTTGTGCCCCAAAGTAAGTGATTGAGGACGATGACTAGGTCAAGTGGGGGAGAATGTCACAACCTAACAATGGTTGTGCCCCCAAGCAAGTAAGTCATCGAGGACGATGACTAGTTTAAGTGGGGGAGAATGTCACAACCTAACTATGAAGAGAGTAGGTTGTGACCCTCACGTTGCGACAAGAGAAGTGGCGGCCCTCAAATGCCGTCATCCTGCCACGCGAGGGCCTAGACGAGTGTCATGATGCAATCGAGGAGGACGATTCATCGTCTAACATACCACACAGAGCAGACATTGAAGACTAGTTGAGACATAAGCAAGACAGAGACATCGGATAGACAAGAACGGTAAAGATAGGCTTGTTGAAGGACCGAGTAGGGTCCCGGGCCTTAACCTCGAAATTCAGGGTTCCGAAAGGAATTTGGACATGCAGTTTGGGAGTTAAGTCCGTCCATATGAAATATGAGTGTTCACCAAGTTTGGTGTCAATTAGACACCGGATGAATAATGCACGACACCGTATGACCGTTCACTCAAATCATGTCTATGCCTAGAAAATTGAAAATGGCTCAAAATGTACCATAGGTGTTAGCTCTCCATCACCCTAGGCCCTATGGCCTAAGTGAGCTACCCTGTGGCACATACGTGTGTCACAGTGTGGGCGAGCGTGCCGAGACGATTTTCTCGGGCAACTTCTTTTGAAATGGGTTTTTCAAGGACAGTACCAAATGGCACGGGTGTGCCGGTATTGCGCCCCAGCGCCCGTGTTGAAGGTTGCTAACCCGCTATCCGGGACGGTATCCGTAAATGACACGACATTGGGTTGCGAACGCACGATGGGCCGAAACCAATGGATTGGCAGTGGGTTATTGGTTGAAACCGACCTCGATCCGGATCCCACGATTTTCTCCGTGACTATTTCCAACGTCCTTCCTCATCGTTTTTCTCCTCTAACTCTCTGTTGGACTTTATGTTTCTTTTCCACGAAGTTTCGTGGCTTGTAGGTGTCTAAAATGACAGGTTTATGAGCCTCTAAACCCAAAAATTGAATCTAGATTCCGACGACACACGACCTTATTCAAGCATATAAAGCTTACTTCTCTTGTATGTGAGATCGTCGGTGGTCCACTTCATACCATGAACTAAGTGTTTCGACGTCGAGTTTGGTCGTTATAAGTGTGATTTCGTAGTCTTGGGTCTCGCCAGAAAAACTATACATAGCATACAAACAAAGGCTCAAAGAAAGCTTTAAGCCATGCATAAAATTTTGCATGTCATGACATAGTAGTTCATGCATGGGCAAGTTATCAATGTTTAATAAAAGTATTCGGCCTTATATAATAGTTTATGTGTCATGATATAGTCTTTCATATATATGATTAATCTTCATTTATGGTAAGGATAAAAATAACTTCTCCAATAACGTACGCACCTCATCGAATCTTTGAAGAAGAGAGATAACATATTTCTTTTCTATAAAATCAGAATATTTTCAAACAAACTTCAATAAAATAAATATAAAAAAGATGTGTCAGAAGTGGGATTTGAACTTACGCCCTCTTTCGAAGACCAAAACTTGAGTCTGACGCCTTAAAATGTCAGGAAATTAGTTCAAATAGCCTTCAAATGTCGTAGAAAATTAGTTCAAATAGCCTTAAAATGCCGTAGAAATGGAACTATTGTCATAATTTGAGGATAATTTTGTCATAAATATTTAAAAATATTAATTTTATTTTAAAAATATTCACAATTTTCAATATATTATTATTCAAAATAATATATTTTTCATCACTAATAAATAATTTTTGTCTATGCTCAAACAAATTATTTGTTTTTAAAACATAAAACAATGAAATTAATTTAAAAACAATTGTTGTTTTAGTCCACGCTCGATGCAAAGTACCACTAATATTTACCTTTTGGATGCAAAGTACCACTTATCGTAATCGAGAAATCAGTAAGAGTTCATTGCACCAACTAACAAAAGAGTTGTCGAAGAGAAGTTGTAAAGGATCGTTTATTCTCTCGAAGAACCATGAGTAATAACGCCAGGTATATTTTAGAATTATCATAACCTATGCAGTTTAAATTAGTTTATGGATGATTTAATGTAGGTTTGGTCTAAGCCGAAGTTAGGTCAACACTTATAGTAACGATTAAAGGTTTAGATTAACGGTGAATAATAACCTTGTTGGATGCACCAATCAATGTAGATAATATTATTTTATTATAAATTCATGTTCATTCTCTAAATTAGCCTTGTCAGCCTAGCAAAATAGACCAAAGAAAAGAGAGAAAAAAAAAAAAAAAAGATTAGGGCTGGAAAATGTGTGGCTACTCCTGCTCTGCTTTTGACATGACTGATAGACGGCTAGGCCTAGGTTGAAACGCTGATCGCGGCCGCAGCTGATGCGAAGAAGGCCTAATCAAAGCCAATAAAGCTCTCTTCACGAGATCAGCACCTTCCACGCCTCCGATTCTGGCAATCGAATTCGTCATTGCCGATCTACGAAAATCCAACGATCCGTTCGAGAACTCGCTGCGATTCAGGGCATTAACAGAGTGCCTCGACTTCTTGTTGTGGAGTGAACACCGGAAAGAGGCTGGATGAGTAGACGGAGAACACATCCACCATTTCCTCTTATTCGACGATACCACATTCTCATTCGCATTCGCATTTCCGTCGCGATTCTTCTGAACCGAAATCGAACGGCCGGGAGATGCCGGCCTTGGATCAATCTGATATTTTCCGCAGATTCCGACAAATTTGATCTCCAACGACGACAGAGATGAAACTTGTGGAGAGTTGGAGCCGAGGAAGGAAGCCATGGTGTTGGAGGCAGTGGAGTGAGAGAGATAGAGAGAGAGAGAGAGAGAGAGGTTTTGGAGAAGAGGGAAAGCGTTGGAGGCTAAGGGTTTGGTGAAACGATTCAAATTATTTCTCTGTTCAATAATATATATAAATATATATATATAGATATAGATATATAGATACACACACTTCTTAATCACTTTTCAAAATATCTGATTTCTCCTACATATACGGGAGCAGTTACAAATTTTGAAAATAAATAAAAATCTATCTTAAAATAACTCGAAATATATTTTTTATTATTTTTAGATATTATTATGAGAAGTTGGTTATTATTATATTTTCTCTCGAGATTGGACTTTCCATTCTTAAGGGTTTGACTCCCTAATTCCCATAAATTAGGAGTGTTCCGACACAATTTAAATTAATAAAAAAATTAAATGTAGAAATATTTCTTCCTTACTTTTAGGTAAGGATAAGGTTGTAGCCCAAGAGTGACGAGCAAGATGGAGAAGCCATTTATGGAGCAATTAAAGGTTTTATATTTTTCTTATCTACTTAAACAACAATTTGTAATGGTTACAAATGATTTGATTCAAGCCATTCATGGGTAAGGAAAAGGTTGTAGCCAAGAGTGTCTTAGCCTAGTAACATTGTTGATACGACTCACTTTGTAATCGTTACAAATGATTTGATTCAAATTGTTTATGTGGAGACATGTGAGTAGGAGTATCCTATATAATGAGTTTTATAAGACTGAACCAAAAAATATATAATCTCTCTTTACAAATTCGTTAATTGAAAATATTAATACTTCACATGATGATCATATTCGATTTGATCTTAATCATGAGTACGTTATGAACCCGAACCTATTAGGGGTTGTCCTTTAATTTTTATGGGTGAAAATGGCTCTTGTAGCCGATTCAATATGCCTACAATTTTGGGGACTTCACCAAATAGGGAGTTGGAAATGTAATATCATGTGATGGAATTTACTCATTTTCATATAAAGAAAGTACATGAGTTGTTTTCTTAACTACTGATTGGATCATAAACAAATTCTGATGGTATTTTATAACACATGCGGAAGCAAATTGGATCTTAGGCACTCTAAGTACATCAATTATAGTAAATTAGCTAGCATGTTCTTAAGCATTAAAACTCAAGGAGTTTGAGTACTAACTTTTTGTAGTTTATATTCATTTTTCCTCATGAACCGATTTCGAACCTCCACTAGTATCTTCCCTACTATTCTCCGGCCTTAGAACGGGATTGTAGAATCCGGTGAGTGACGAAACTTGATAGGAATTTAGTATATGTAAAGAGAGAGCTTTGAGAGATTTTCTCAAAGTAGAATTTCCATGTAACTTGATCACTCTATTTATAGAGTTATATTTGCATGTTCGTGCTTACCAAATTTTGACACTCAATTGTGGGATTATGTGACAAGCATGCAAGTTTGAGTTAACCAAATTTGGACACTCAAAATTCCACTAACTCAATTCATTTTAATTCAACAATTAATTTAAATAATTAATTTCAAATTAAAGTAATATTAATTAATTTATTAAACAATTTAATTAATATTTAACATTAATTCAAATGTCAATCCTAATCACACATATTGATTAAAATATTTAAATCTTATTTAAATATCTCCCATTCTCTCTTTTTATTTAATTAGTAAATAAAACAAAAATGTGATTAAATATATTGTATATATTTAGCGCATATTCGCTAATTGAATTCGAACACTTCGAACTCACTCATCACACTGTTCCATGGTTTAGTTCGATATGAGCTAGCAGGGGGACCTAATGAACCTATAGATCATGGGCTCCAACGATCCGAGATTAACCAGCTAAACTCATTAACCTTGTTAACCAACATTCGTTAACTACTAGGACATTCCACTATAGCCTATTAGTTGCACTCCCCTCACTATAGATATATTTCTGTCCATTTGATATAACCATGATTAGTAAGTCGATCCTTCAAAGGTTGTTCGTAACTAGAGCTAGGTCAATTTACTGTTTTACCCCAAAAGTTACTTCTTGTTCCTTATGTCCCACTGATCCTCTAATGAACGATTGGTTTGTGGTCCAACTAGTAAACCGAATCCCTCTCAGGACAATGAGAGGGCTGGGCTCCTTGTTCAAGACATGGAGTCAATACTTAAGGGAACAACCTCTCTACTATCCCTAAAAGTGGGTAGGAGTGAATTCAATCTTGCACCCTATGTCCCCAACTATTCACGTAGTCTTACCCCTCAAGTGGGAGGCTTATTGAGTCGGCGAACTCGACCACTCTCACTCATGCAAATCTAAGGATAACTCCGAATAAATAGGAGTTCATGGTTAGCTCAGGATTAAGATCGAGTTACCTAGGTCATCAAATGAAAAAATCAGTCTGAACAGTAAACGACATTATAAAGTGAGAGTGATTTTCTTTATGGTCCGATCTTATGCAATACTCATTGCATAGGACGCCCCTACTCACATGTCCCCTCATGTACAATTTAGTGATCACATTGTTTATATCATATACAAAAGTGGGCCGCATCCATAGTATCCCCAGGATATGGTACTCAGCCTTATCCTTGTACTATAGATCATTTTGTTTATATACTTGAACTTGATCCATTCTTATGTCTCTACATATAGTTCAAGTAATCATACTATAGCCAGAGTGTTCTTAGTTTATTGGATTTAGATTAATAATCGTAAAATTCACTTTATTCAATAACAATTTTTACTAAATAAACATCAATAATAACTTTATTGAAAATAGAATATGTTTTTGTTTACAAACTATGAGTTTTAGGACATAAAATCCAACACTAATAAGTTCAGGTTGCACCGAAAAACGCTAAAAGAAGGAGCTAGCAATGGCTTTGTCATGATATCGACGAGCTAATCCTTGGAAGATATGAGCTGCACATCAAGCTGACGAGTTGATACTTGTTCACGAACGAAGTGACAATCAACCTCAACATGCTTCGTCTGTCGATGAAAGTTTGGATTGGCAGACAAATAGGTGGCACCAATGTTGACACACTACAGGCTAGGTGCTCATGCTTGAGAAATCTCGAGCTCACGTAAAAGGACTTGGATCTAGATTAATTCGTTAGTGGCATCAACAACCGCCTTGTATTTGACCTCCGTACTAGAATGAGAAACTATCGATTGTTTTCTTGAACTCCAAGAGATAAGATTGCCACCAAAGAAGATCGCATAGCCTCTAGTGCTTCGACGGTCATCAAGATTCCTGGCCCAATCAGCATCCAAGAAGGTACTAAGCAAATAGAGCTGGTCTTTGTAAAACACAAGCCCATATCAATAGTGTCATGTAGATAACGGAGAATCCGTTTAACCGCTGGCCAATGTACAGAAGTTGGGGAGGACATGAACTGGTACACTTTGTTGACATAGAAGAAGATGTCAGAACGTGTCAGAGAAAAATATTGGAGAGCACCAACGACACTTCGATATCGAGTAGTATCTTCATTCGAGAGCTTTTCACCACCATCCAATAACTTCTCACTAGGAAGCATAGGCGTGGGCACACATTCGGTTGTGAGCATATTGGTTCTGGACAATAAATCTTGAATGTATTTATGTTGTGTCAGAACAAGTCCATTAGAAGTATGACGGACCTCAATCCCAAAAAAATAACTTCAAGTGTCAAGATTCTTGACGACAAAATCATCCCGAAGTTGTGTAAGAAGTTTCTCAGTAGCCATAGAAGATGAGCTGATGATAATAATATCATCAACATAGATGAGGATATTCATCTGAATGCCCACCTTGTTAAAAATTAAAAGAAAGACATCAGCCTTTGAAGGTGTAAAATCTAGCTGTAATAGTTTGAAGCTAAGGCGAGAAAATCAGGCATGTGGAGCTTGTTTGAGGCCATAAAGCGACTTATCCAGCTTGCAGAGTTAACGAGGATGTTGAGAGTCCACAAATCCAAGGGGCTGCTTCATATAAACATCTTCATTAAGAAGGCCATGAAGAAAAACATTCTGAATATCAATCTGCCGAATAGCCCAACCACGAGAAATATCAAGAGATAATAAGAGCCGAATGGTAGTGAGCTTAACAACCGGACTGAAGGTATCATCATAATCAAATCCAGGGGCTGCTTCATATAAACATCTTCATTAAGAAGGCCATGAAGAAAAGCATTCTGAATATCAACCTGCCGAATAGCCCAACCATAAGAAACAGCAAGAGATATAAGAGCCAAATGGTAGTGAGCTTAACAATCGAACTGAAGGTATCATCATAATCAACTTCATACTATTGTTTAAACCCTTTAGCAACCAGGCTTTGTAGCGATAAATAGAACCATCTGGCTTTTGATTGAGTTTGAAAACCCATTTTCAATCAATAACGTTAAAACCAACACGAGGAGGAACTAAGTGCCATGTCTTATTTTTTAGAAGTGCCTGAAATTCATCATTCATTGCCTACGTCAGAGGAGATGTTCCATAGCTGTAATATGTGAAGTAGGTTTAAAGGCAGAAGATCGAACCATAGAATACGTTACTGTTCCATCTGTACTCAACTAGGGCTGTTTGATATTGTGCTTCAATCAAGTACCATAGGGATGAGCAATAGGTGTAGGATCCACAACTGAGGAGACAATCATACTAGCCGTTGTGAGGAGAGTAGTCGGTCGACTAGCGGTCGAGGACCTGACCAGGATCGGAGCCCAGAGAATCCGGGTGGCCCTAAACGATGCGGGAATAGAATCTGCTGGCGGAGGATCTGAGGCCCCAATCATTGGCAAAATAACCGATGTTGATTCATGCGGCAACGATGCAGAGGATTGCGGCGGCAATCCCAAAGCTAATGTGGGCACCAGATTTTCTACATCTAAAGAGTTAGTATGCATAGATATATGCATGTGATCATGCTCCAAATTAGTAATGTTGTTACCCAAATGCAAGATGCACAAATCAGGGGCATTGTACGTCGGTTGCAAGGTTGGGGAAGAATTGGGTGGGGCT